AATAAAGGCGGACCTGTGTTCATTTTGCTTCCAAAGCAACATTTTTAGTAATGAGATCAAAGATAAAGAGAAACGAAGAAGCGATGGACGCAAGTTTGAATGAAAACATGTGCCCTTGGATAAACATATTTATAGACAAACTTTGGTATGAGAGAGTAGCCTTAGAATCTTGAGAAGTCACTATCTCTTGGTCTGCGTGACCTGAGAAGTAACTATCTCTTGGTCTGCGTGACTCAGAAGTCACTATTTATTGGTCTGCGTGACTCAGAAGTCACTATTTATTGGTCTGCGTGACCTGAGAAGTCACTATCTCTTGGTCTGCGTGACATGAGAAGTCACTATCTCTTGGTCTGCGTGAGTCAGAAGTCACTATTTATTGGTCTGCGTGACCTGAGAAGTCACTATCTCTTGGTCTGCGTAACTCAGAAGTCACTATCTCTTAGTCTGCGTGACTCAGAAGTCACTATTTATTGGTCTGCGTGACTCAGAAGTCACTATCTCTTGGTCTGCGTGACTCAGAAGTCACTATTTATTGGTCTGCGTGACTCAGAAGTCACTATTTATTGGTCTGCGTGACCTGAGAAGTCACTATCTCTTGGTCTGCGTGACTCAGAAGTCACTATCTCTTGGTCCGCGTGACTTGATAAGTCACTCTCACTCGTAAAACGTGGTGAAGCATTGAATGACTGAGAATCCAATGTTACCATTATAAATAGACATATTCATGTTCATTTTATTCATTCAACCTTCTCAGCTTGTTCCTTGTTCTTGTGAACCTTCTCCTACTAAAAATGTCTTCAATCTATGTCATTGTTTACTCTGATGGTGCCATTAACCAATGTCCTTATGAAGGAGTCACGTTGACCTCATCATCAGCTAAATTGGTACATCTAAAGAGAGGAGTGACTCTACAAAGGCTCAAGAAAATTATCCACACAAAACTCAACCGAGACGAAAATGAAAGGGTGACAACCATACATTTTCGCTACCCAATTAGACTTGGCCCAGGAGTTAGTAACTACACATGTGTTGAGTTAAATGATGATGAAGACGTTGAGGCACTGTTCAACATCCACGATTCAAATCAACTTCAATCAGGTATAGAATTATATGTTACATTTGCTACAAACGAAACACAGCCACCACAACTTTTGCCTTCATCTTCACCTTACCAAACTTACGAAACCATAAATCCACCTTTTCCAACATATGATATGAATTCCGACCTTCAGTCCTACACACAACTTTTAACTGGTCAATTCATGGACCTTAATGAAATACCCTTACAACCATTTGAGCAAACCCAACCCTCTCAGCCTCTTGAAGAAACTCCCATTGAAGAACATGCTGTTGTGGGTCTCCCAAACGAAGTATTTGATCCTTTTAGCGAGGACGAAGATGAAATCTTATCTCAACAGCAGGATGATGAAGAAGACTCCCTCCCACTTCCAAATATTTCACCATCACAACCATTACCATTATACAACCTACCTTCACATTTTTTAGACTTTTCCAGTCAAATACAAGAACATGACTCTGAGTTTGGCCATGTACTTGAATGTGAAATGGTAGTGTATCCACCTGAAACACTATTTGTTGGCCAGCGCTTCCTAACAAAAGAACAAGTGCAAGATGCCATAAATAGATTTCACATTGTCAATCATTGGACTTACAAGGTGAAGATGTCAAGCACAACTAGGCTTGTCGTGGAATCCGTTCACAACGACTGTTCTTGGAGATGTCGCGCAATATTGCGCACCAAAGAGCAACACTGGGAAATAATGAAGCTTGACGGGTGCCATACATGTACTTCCCCACTCATTTCACAGGATCATAACAACTTGGGATCACGAATGATTTCTCATGGGATTCGTGAAATATACAGAGTGATCCATCCACACCCAGCACAACAATCTTAGCCCACATAAAGTCCACAATGGGTTACACAATCAGCTATAGGAAGGGATGGTTAGCGAAACAACATGCCATTGAAAATATCTTCAGAAATTGGGAGGAGTCATACCATAAGTTACCTAGACAGTTGCTTGCAATGCAACTGTATATTCTAGGCTTCATCTGGAAATTGAGTACACAACCAACATACAAGGGTGGCTTGCTTGACGAGGGGAATGTGTTCTTCAAGAGGTTATTTTGGACCTTCAAGCCATGCATTGATGGTTTTTCCTTCTGCAAACCAATTGTTCAAGTGGATGGAACATTTTTGTATGGCAAATACAAAGGAACTTTATTAGTGGCAGTTGCGCAAGACGGCCGCAACAACATAATCCTCATTACCTTTACTGTGGTAGAAGGTGAAACTAGCGATGCATGGTTCTTTTTTTTGAAAAACTTAAGGAGGTATGTAAGTCCGCAAGAGGGGTTGTGCCTCATTTCGGATCGTCACGAGGCCATAAGAAGTGCATACTCCAAAAATAGAAGTGGTTGGACGGAAAACAATTCTGTCCATGTCTATTGCATTAGACATATTGCACAAAACTTCATGCGACGATTCAAAAACGCTGCACTGAAGAAAGATGTCATCAATATGGGTAATTTTAATTTTTTACGTACTTTATATTCTTATTAATATTTTATACAATTGCTTAGCTAGTTATATTAATTTTTTTTGTAATCTTGTTTCCAGCATATGGGATGACTGAACCGAGATTCTTTTACTATTACAACATAGTAAAAGATAATAATCCTGAAGCTGCACAATGGTTGGACAACATCCCAAGGGAAAAATGGACACTGGCATGGGACAATGGACGACGTTGGGGACACATGACAACAAACCTAGCAGAGTCAATCAATTCGGTCTTGAAGAAAACCAGAAACTTGCCAATTTGCTCCATGGTCCTGGCAACATACACCCGTTGCAATAAGTTCTTCATTGACAGAGGCAGAGAAGTAAATGCAATGATTAATGCTGGACATATGTACTCGGAGGTTGCAACTAAAGCAATTCAAGATGCACAGTCAAACGCAAACACTCATAGAGTCATCACCTTTGACAGAACAAGCACTAGATTTTTAGTCGAAGAAATGCAACATCCGACAGAAATTCGACCCGTAGGAAGATTTACAGTACGGTTTAGATGAAATGTGGTGTGATTGTGGCAAGTTTCAAAAAGTTCACATCCCATGCTCGCATGTACTTGCTTCATGCTTATACGCACACCACAACTTTGACATATACATATCTCCCGTGTATACCTTACAACAAGTTTCTAAGGTATACGAAGGTCAGTTTGGAGAACTCAGACATGAAGACTATTGGCCAACTTACACGGGCCCAACTTTGTGTCCAAATCCAGAACTGAAAAGAACTTCAAAAGGTCGACCCAAGTCTAGTAGGATAAGGACAGAGATGGACATTAGAGAACAACAAAGTCGGCAAAAAAATTGTTCTTATTGTCACACGCCTGATCACACAAGGAAGACATGTCCAAACATTACTCAAGTTTCTACTTCCCGTCATTGATTTATGTTGTTGTTATTACTTTAAAATTTTCTTCATGTAATTTTTAATTTTATGAATGTCATTGCAACTTCTAAATTTTAGTATTAGTAATTTAGATTAAATATATTATTATATATATATATATATATATATATATCTAGATAATATTATTTAATAATGTTTATTAATATTAATAAAATATTTTTTAAATAAATAATTATGTATAAATTTTAATAAAGATTAATATCTCAAATTAAATAAATAATCTTATTATTATTTAATACTTTTATTTATTTTATAAAAATATAAAATTAAATAAATTATTATTGTAATTTTTATCAAATACAAATTTAAAATTATTCAATTATTATTATAATTTTTATTTTTTTACTATTATTTATGTAAAAATCTCACCAAATTCCATACATAATTTACATTTTTGTTTTTATATATAATAAAAAAATATTATCTAATATTTATGTTTATATAATAATTATATATTGTCAAATTTAATAATAAAAATAGTTTTAAATAATAAAATAAAATTTATTATTTGAATTATATTTTTATTTTTATATTGTGTGAAAATAAATATTTATATTATGTTAATTAATACTTGAGGAATCTTGCTACATTATATTGAGAGATGGAACTCACTTCCTAACAGGGAACTCCTATTGAGAATGAAGATAGAAGATAGGGTGTTAACGGATAAGTGAATAAGTGGATGAAGGGAGCGAAGTTACGAAGCTTCTGAAAGCGGTTCAAAACGAACCGCTCTCGAAATTTGAATACTGAGAGCGGTTGGTTTTGAACCGCTCTCCAAATCCTCCACATTAGCCCAACGTGTACGACTTTGGAGAGCGGTTCAATTTGAAGCGCTCTTAAAATTAGACTTAAGAGAGCGGTTCAAAATGGACCGCTCTTAGATTTCGACTTTGGAGAGCAGTTCGTTACTAACCGCTCTCAGAAGTCGATTTTTTCAATCAAAATCTGTCACACAGATTAACATAATATAAATATATAAACATAAATATTATATTATTGTAATTTTTTTAAATAATATTAAATAAACAAAAATATAATTTCAAAATATAATATTAATACCGTTTTACAAAAATTAAAATTATATTAAATAATATGATAACAAAAATAAAAATATTATTTATTATCATAATTATGTAAAAAAAATTAATAAACATGTAAAATAAATATTATTTTTATTTTTATTTATTTTCACATAATAGAATATAAATATATAAATATAATTTAAATAATTAAATTTATTTATTTATATACAAATATTTAAAAAATTGAAAAACAATCAAAATTCAACTTTCAGAATTCGGTGGCCCAGGGACCGAATTCTGGCTACCCAATTACTGCTACAGTAATTGAGTCTAATTCTGTAAATTTTGTGAGCACCGGTCCATTCAGGTTATTTTATTTTATTTTTATATTATATTAGTAAAAACTTCTTATGCATGACATGTCGCTATTATTTGAAAAAGAAAAAGGTTAAGATTTATTTATAATATTTTGTCCCGAAAGTTAAGATTGAAACTCGGTTGGCACATGGAAGAAGAATGGTAGAAAATTGGCACCCGTCATCCTCTTCATACACAACACACCCTCACTTCCACACTTCACTTCCTACCGCAACAAAAATGGCCGCAAAAGAAAATGAGATAGCCCACCAGTTTCGTTTTTTCCGTGTTTACAATGACGGCAAACTGGAGATGTTCGGACCCATCATCCCCTCCGAAAAGGTTTCTCCTTCCGACGATTCCACCACCGGTGTCCGCTCCAAAGACACCATCATCTCCACCGACCCACCCGTTTCAGTTCGGATATTTTTGCCCCGAATAACCGACCCAATCCGAAAAATCCCCCTCCTCCTTTACATCCACGGTGGTGGGTTCTGCATGCAATCTGCCTTCTCCTCCACGTACCATAACCTTGTCGCCACCATCGTTTCCGAAGCCAACGTCATCGCCGTCTCCGTGGAATACGGGTTGTTTCCGACCCGACCCATTCCGGCTTGCTACGAGGACTCATGGGCTGCACTCCAGTGGGTCGCGTCGCACGCTGGAGGAAGTGGACCCGAGCCTTGGCTGAACAAATACGCCGATCTGCAGCGGGTTTTTATCTCCGGCGACAGCGCCGGTGGCAACATTACCCACACTTTGGTAAGTCGAGTAGGGAAGCTTGGGTTACCGGGTGTTAAGGTTGTCGGGGCTATTTTGGTCCATCCATACTTCGCGGGTGTGAAGGAGGATGATGAGACGTGGATGTACATGTGTCCAGAAAACGAGGGGTTGCATGATCCTAGGATGAAACCGGCCGCAGAGGATCTGGCTAGGCTTGGGTGCGAGAGGGTGTTGGTGTTCGCTGCTGAGAAGGACCATTTGTTTGATTCTGGAAAGAAGTACTTTGAGGAGCTTAAGAAGAGTGGATGGGGTGGGAGTGTTGAGCTTGTTGTGAATTGGGGTTTGGAGCATTGCTTTCATGTTAGAAACCTTGAACATGATAAGGCTCAGGAATTGTTGCATAAGGTCGCTTCTTTCATCCAACAAGACTAGATTTGCCAATGGACCCAAGGATCTAGCTTCTATGATTTTGCTATGCTTTGTAATTTTTTTTACCAAGTTATATTTTGTAATTTTAATTTGGCATGCTTGTATGATGTGTGATTCTCTGTTCCTTGGGCCTCTGCGTGAGATGAAACTCAGTAAAGGATATAAATGGTGAAAATAAATTTGGAAACTGAAGTTTTTGGCAATGTAATTGAATTTTAATCACTTGCTTGTTAATATATAACTTGTATGACTTATTGTCCACTCTTATCATGAATTTTAAATCTTAAATAAAAGACTATTTTCAGATTCTCATACAACCTTGTATTTAAATAGTGACGTTTTAGATTTTTTAAGTAATTTCCTGAAATTTAAATTTCATTTTTTGAAAACCTAACTGTGATGTTAATTACCTTTAAATCCTCATACCATTGTTACTTTTAATATTAGCTACTCATTAATTTAATTTTTATTCAATTGTTAATTATTGTCAAAATAATTCTCTTAATTTAAATTATTGCCAAACTATAAATTATTGATTACTAAAAATCAAACTTAATTGGATTTTGTTTTAATATAATTGATTATGATAGATTAATACACAAATTGTATATAATTAGTAAGTAATGAAACTATTTTAACTTATTAGTAACTCTCAGTTTTGTTTCTAAACATGCAACCACGTTAAATATTCAAAAAAGTAAATTTTTATGCTTATAGTGATCATATCTCTATCTAGCATAATTGCTTCCTATAAAAAAAAGGTTTCTTTCAACTAATTTCATCATTGTTTATTTTTAACATTATGTTGGTTTTATATAATTCATTTATGTTCTATAAATATTGTTTCTAATCATTCTTTTTAATTTATCCTCACTTTGAACTAAATTGAAATTGTTAATTTTCTCTTCTAGTTAACATCAATTGTGTTTATGAAATTTCAAAAATAAATGGGAATAAGCTTTAATTTATCCAATGAAATTTATCTTTAATAATAAATAGTTTAAATATATATATATATATATATTTATTTATTTATAGGATAGAATTTTCTTGTAAGTCTAAAAATTTTTACACTGAACTTTTTATTTAACTTACATATAATGAGTTATTAATTTATTACTTCACTTAGATATAAGTTAAATATCATTTCTAAAAGCAAATTCTTATATGCACCAAAAGTGATTTTTTGTTATTTATTCTTGCTATTTTAGCATAAGATGTGAGAACTTAATAGAAATATGCTTTTATTTTTTCTAGATAAGTACAACTTTAATTTTCTGAGGACAATGACTATGCTTCCTCAATAAACTGCTTATTGTTGCACTTTATCTTATTTAGTTTATTAGTATTTAAATAAAATTTCTTTGAATCATTAACTATTTCTTCAATTTTTTGTCAACTCGTTAGTTTATTTGAATTGTATGTTCTTTTAAATCATCTTACACACAATATTTATATTGAAATTATTAAAATAAATTTCTTCAAAATAATGTTCATTTATTTAATATTAAAATAATTTTAATTATCAAAGTTTTTGAGCAATTTTTTTAATTATTTAAGAATATTAAATTAAGATTTTAAAGTAAATAAATAAGAATATATTATGTAAATATTTTTAATTTAATAAATTTTATAAATTTAAAAAATAAATAATATAATTATTAATGATAAAAATTTTATTTAATAAATTGAGATTTAAAATAATATTGAAATGAAAAATAAATACATAATATAGACAGATTATTTCTTATAATAAAAAATTAAAAATATTTTCTTTTAAGAATACTCTTAAAAATATTTTTATTTAAAATTCTTCTAAAATACTTTTGTTCAGGAATTGATGCTGACAAGTTATATACAGAGGTTGATGTTTTTAAAGAAAAATAAGTGAAAATATATCAGAATAATATCAAAGGTATATTTATTTGGGATTAATTTTGAAAAAATTATTTACTTATATATAAAATATCTATCATGTAACTGATAAAATCATAATTATTCTTTTAGAATAAAATCAACTAAACATGTACTGGGTGTTCAATTAATAATCTCTCTCAATGTTATCTCTTTTCAAAATAATTTCTTAATGATTAAGACCATTTTATGATTGTTATAATTTTTTATAAATTTACCTTAAAATAAATACTTTAAAATACATCTAAACTCTTATCAGTGTATTTAAATTATTTATTATATAAAATTATTTGAAATAATTCAGTTAAGGAAGGACGAATTTAACGAGACAAATACGCATTTTATATAACTAGTAATCGAAAGGAGTATATTCCCTCAAGTCAAATTGATCCCATTCCATATTATTTTACCTACACAATTATTATTAAAAAATCATATATTAATGGCTTAATATTAAATTTACTTTCATTAGTATTTTTTATTTATTAATAAATAAATCATTAATATAATTTTATAAATTTATATTAATAATGTAACACATTATTAACAAATAATTTTATAAATATTAAAAATTAGAATATATTATCAACACATAATTTTATTGATACAATATACAACATTGTGGATGTGCAATATGTATTTATTTATTAAATCAAAGTTATATAGATGAAAAAATTATAATATTAACATGTATATTTTTTTCTAAAGTATGTGATACGTTTTTTAAGTAAAATTTGTCAAATAATGCGAAAACAAAAAATAACATTACCATAATCCTTTTCAAATAATTGATTGAAGGCATGCTACTGATAAAAGGTATTATACTCAAAATGAGATATAGAATATAAGCCAATTAGAAATTTTATGTATTAAAAACTTAATGAATGTAAGTAGCTTATTAAATATTTATAATTTTTTCACATTCTTAAAAAAAAAACAATGAATACGTATAGTCCTATTTTTGAAACAATACATTAATTCTAGCAAAAATGTGGTAGTATCCTATAATATAAAAAGCGGTTAATACTAAACTATTCGTAGTTTGGGACATTCAAATTTATGGAATGCAATTTTAAAAGAGTATTTGCTACAGTAATAAAAGGTATTTTATATTTTTTTAGTTTAAAGTTATAATTCCTCTAATATTTTAAAAATTATAAAGTATTATCAATTTTTTAAATTAAATTATTAATTCTACTATTTATTAATATAAGATTAACAGTAACCATTGTTATATATGTAATAGAGGATATCAAATTCTCTTAACTACAAGAGATATAGTAGATTTTATTTTCTACTGAAATGAGAAAAAAAGTTAAAGAATCAAATTAATATAAAATTATGAATTAAAAGATTAATTTATTCATTTAATCTAAAAAATATTATCAAATGTTTTCTGTAGTATATTACTTCAAAAATATTTATTATTATTATTATTATTAAATTTAGAAATATAAGTTCAATTTTTAATTTAATAATTTTATCCTTATTTATTTTATCAGTAAATTCTAACCTTAATTAAATGTATATCTTACAAAATATATTTCGAACATTCTTCTAGAAAAACAACAATAAATTTCTTACCCACTCTGTATATAGACGGTAGAAGTAAGTAGTCTGCGCACCAACCAAAGCTTGCCACGATTATTTTTCTATATTTTATTTTATTCATTTCATTTTAGAAAATAGTAACAACATTTTATGATAATTTATAAATTTATTCCTTAATTAAATTCTTAAAACACCAATTAATAGCTTTTTTCATTATATCGTCTATTTTATTTCAATTTCCCTGTCCATGTGTCATTATCATTGCTTTTTTTTTTCTTTTCTTTGAAAGCTACACTCATCTAACTATACATTTAAATATACCTTTTTATATTAATTTATTTAAAAAAATCTAATGAACTCGTGATCATAAATTGTTTTTCAAAATTAATTATTTTTTAGTGAATTCCTATTATTGGTCTGTATCATAATTTGTTTGGATATATAAATGAGTATTCTTCATCGCTAAGGAGGAGAAATCCATCTCATTTCTTCAGCATAATGGATTCAAGCTCTGGCGAGGTAGCCTTAGATTTCTCACCCCTTCTCAAAATCTACAAAGATGGTCACGTGGAGAGGCTTATGGGAAGCGACGTCGTTCCTGCATCTTACGATCCCACAACCAACGTGGATTCCAAAGACGTCGTGATCTCAGAAGAGCAAGACATATCCGCCAGAATCTTCATTCCCAAACTCAACGACAACCCAAACCAAAAGCTCCCTCTCCTCGTTTACTTCCACGGTGGCGGCTTCTGCATTGAAACCCCTTCCTCACCCCCTTACCACAATTTCCTCAACTCCCTCGTTTACAAGGCCCAAATCATTGCTGTCTCTGTTCATTACCGAAGAGCCCCAGAGCACCCTGTTCCGGTCGCTTACGATGATTCATGGGCCGCGATCCAATGGGCCGCTTCCCATGTTAACGGAAACGGGCCTGAAGAGTGGCTCAATCGCCACGCTGATTTTGGGAAAACGTTCTTCGCTGGAGACAGTGCTGGTGCAAACATCAGTCACCACATGGGTATTCGGGTCGGGACCCATGGGCTTCCGGGCGTCCACCTCGAAGGGATTGCTCTGGTGCATACTTACTTCTGGGGCGTGGAACGGATTGGATCTGAGGCCCAAAAGCCGGAACATCTGGGCATGGTGGATAAGTTATGGCTCTTTTCATGCCCTAATTCGAGTGGATCCGACGACCCGTTGATCAACCCGGCTAAGGATCCGAATCTGGGGAAGCTGGCTTGCAAGAGAGTGCTGCTTTGTGTGGCTGAGAATGATTTGTTGAAGGATAGAGGTTGGTATTACAAGGAGTTGGTTGAGAAGAGTGGGTGGCAGGGTGTTGTGGAGGAAGTCATGGAGGCAAAAGGAGAAGGCCACGTGTTTCATTTGTTCAACCCAACTTGTGAAAACGCCGTCGCTTTGCTCAATCGGATCGCTTCCTTCATCAATCAACCATAGTTAAGTACGCAAAACTTAGAATGAATAATCCAAGTTTAACCTTGGAATTTCCAGTCAAACTTCTAAACATCATTGGTTTACTTGCAGCTATGAGAATCTGGACTTTCTGTTTGTTTTATATGGTGGGTATTATATTGTTGATTATTTCTTGCATCCATCCTTGTGAATATTTTGGTCGAAAACTTCAAAGTAGGAATTATATTTTTACACTTATTTTCTCTTATTATATTATTTATTTACTCTTCTACTTAAATCATACTCTAAAGTGAGGTGTGAGTGAATAAATAATTTTTTAAAACTTAATATACATAAAAATAATAATTTCTTTGTTAAAATCATTATACCTTTATTGTAATTTTTTATTTATTACTTAATGAGTATGCGCTTCTGTGAAATTTGCTTTGGATTTCCAGCCTAATTTACGATAGCAGAAATCAACCAAAGGAGGGTCAATAATATCACTTTTTCTTAAAAGAAAATACAAAGCATCAGTAACATTTTCGTAATCACTGCAATAGTCCGGATAATTTTGCATTCTAAGTTCACTTAGGATAAATTATCATTATTACTCTGTCGTAAATTAATAAAATAAAATAAAAATTTATATTTTATTTGTTTAACTAATTTATAATAATAAAGCTAAATTATTTAATTGTTTTTACTCAATTTCTTTATTTTCATCGCCTTGTAAATATCTTTTGAGAGTAGCGAATTCTCTCAAAAGTCAAATTATCCGTTGGTCGTTTGTATTTAGTTTTGTTTTTAACGTTAGATACGAGTTTGATTATTGCGGGGTGTCTTCCCTTGCGTTGGGACTTGGGATAAGTATTTTCGTCAAGTGCTTACTGGTTTACCTCAACTTTTAATGTTAAGTTTAAGCATTTACATATAATTTTTTTTATGTATTGTATTAAAATTATAAAAATATAATAAATATTTTTTTAATAAAATTTTATTATTATTAGCTGTTTATTTTTAGTTCTTAAAAGTTGATATTAACAAAACACATAAATTATTTTTTTTAATTTTTTAAAGGAAATAATTATTAATATATTTTTATTTTAACTTTTTAAAATAAAAAAATTATTATAAAATTTGTACTATCAAAGTATTAATTCCTTACTTATATAATTTCTCTAATTATTTTTATAAAAACATTTAATTAATTATTTTTCATCCATTATTTAAGTTTTCACTAACTATATTTATTGAAGGTAAATGAGAACAAAAACACTTCAAAAAATCTATACGAAGTTTTATAAAAAAGACTACTAATTTATTTTAGAAAGTGTCTTATAAAAATAAATAAATAAATAAATACATTCATTCTTTTATAAAATATTAACTTAACTATTTAATATTATGAATATTTTTTTAAATATAATATTAATTTATAGTATATAATTATTTATTATTATTTTAATTAATTTTTATAACAAATTCAATGCAATAATTCTTTTTATATGAAGATTTGTACTATTAATTTCACTATAAAATTTATTGAAACATGTTAAAATATTTTAACAAAATGTATAAAGAATGTAAAATAAATTAAAAAGTTATGAAAGATATAAAATTTTTAAAACGCTTCTTGTATATAAGTTAAATTCAAATCTTATCCATGTTAAATTTAAGAGAAGTAAGCTAAAAAAATCTTATAAGAAAAAGTTGAAATCCAGCCATTAAATTTAACTTATAACAAAATACAGTTAATTATACATTCTTACTTTCTTTTCTATAAATATTTATTAAAAAAATTTAAACTTAAGCTAAATAAAATTAGCTCATAAGAAATTACTTCCTCTCCTTTAAAACATACAAATTAACAAGCAAAATTTGTATACAAAACTAATTTATTATTTCTTTTTTTTATTAGTTTTACTTTCAAATTTATTAACTCACTTGCTTTCTTGAATTGATGTTGGTTGTAGTAAAAGAGAAATGATATGTTTATTAATTATTTGGGTGAGTATAATATAATTTTTGTGTTTTAGATGAGAGAAAAGTCATAGATTCTATTATTCTGAAGTCTTGAAAATGATTATCACTTGTTAGTTGATTGATATTTAAATCCATGAAATTGTATCTGTATTAATTATGTATAAGTATATTTTTGCTTTTTATTTTTTTAAGTAAATATTAAATTTTTTCTCTATGTATATAGATTTTGAGTTGCCCTTAAACTCTCTAATAATATATGTTTTGTCTATAAAAAAAAATAATCCAAACAATTCAAGCACTCTATTTAAAGTTTTTTTTCCATTTGATTGAATAAAAATGTTAGTAATATTTTTTCTAACACATATTTATTATTAACGAAAATTTATTAAAAAATTATAAATATAAACAATATTAATTTAGGAGAAAAAAATTTCACATAATTTTATTGTTTTTAACAAATATTAATCAATAATAACGTGTTTGTTGGCTTTTTCTCTTCCATCCAATACAAGGTAGTAATTCTATTAAACAAATAATGCATTTGCATTTAAGGCTTTTTTTGGGGGGGGTGAAAAATGGTGTACTAAAAACATCGACCATTGTGGACCTAAGAGAAAAAGAAAAAGAAAAAGCATTAATTGATAATATTAGTAGCTATGTCAACGGAAACTAGCACATCCGAGTTCTATTAGTTAGCAATTGGACTTTTCTTGAAGATGGTGGAATCAAACTTTACATTATAATTTAATTTTATTAACTAATTTAGAACTCTGCGTTCCTCTTTTAAGATCTTCCCAAACTCTTCCCGCATCCGCATGTAAGGTAGGCTATCAAACTAGTGATCTGATAAAAAGAAAAGAAGAAGGTTGATTTATGCTTTTCACAACCAAAACACAAAGCTTAACTTCCTCAATTCAAAGAAGTTAGAAAACCATTAAGATTAAAAATTGAAGTTATGCCAAACCAATGTGCTATATAATCATACTTAAAATTTGTCTCTCTTCAAATTGTATAGAGCTACATGAAAGCCCAAAAAAGAAAAAGAAAAACAAAGGAAGCGTGTAATGACCGACTATTATTCCCATAGGAACAAACATAACTTAAATATAATGGCAAATAGTATAACAAACCAAATATTGCTGGAAAACAACATTAAGTTCAATCCAATTGTATGATTAAAAGGTATCGCTGTTCCAAAAATAGAAAATAAAAAAGATGGATCTAATACTACTCATACATTAGTATGATAGTGAACAAATTTTTTTTTTCATTGGGTATCCTTTGTTCCAGAAGGATTAGCTTTGGACTAAGGGCTTCTATATGGTACGAGATGAGAATACAGTAAACTCAACCTGATTTTTGTCATTGCCCATCTTTATATTTACTTTTAAATTATTTGTAGCCAAAAACATAAAATTAGTTGATTCGTCAGCGTAGCTCTTGATATTTTGAAGATCATCGTGGATTATATACATGCGTCCTTATTTCCAATAATGATCTCACATTGTTTAAAATTTGCCTTAGGATTATTAATTCCAAGTATTGATAATGCTAAGTAAAATTAATATAACTTTTTTTTTCAAACTTAATTTGATTAAACAAGTTGGATCTGCCTTAAATTAGAATTTAAATTCTCTCTATTTTACGTGAGAATTAAACATCTAATTTTATTTAAGCTAATTTACATAAAAACAAAAATTAGCTCCTTTCAGGAAAAATGGTGACATGCCCCTTCTCTCAAACGAATAAATTATCAAAACAAATGAATAATTTTGACACATACCCATTGATCACCCAGACCATAAAAACACGTTTAAGTGATGGCCATGTGAGTATACTCCAGGTACCATTTATATATATGCATAATTATTCGTTTAAGTTAACGGGTATGTCTCAAAATTGTGTTTTTTGTGATGAATTTTTGTTGCAGCTTAAGCTTGCCTTTGGACTAGACAAGGAAATAGTTCAGGTCTCACTCTAAATATATCAAACTTATAGTATAATTATTATAATTATTAGATCTAAATCTGACCTGTTATTTATTAAAAAATTTATTTTTGTCTTATTCTGATTTGTTTGAGTGGCCTAAACTGACATAAAGTCTGTTGATAAAGCTTGATGAAAAAAAAAATCTCTTAATAGACTATTATGTTTAGGCCAGCAAACATTTAATAAATAGGTCTTTAAATATTAATTTTAAAAAAATAATATTATATATATATATATATATATATATATATATATATATATCAGCCTATGAAGCTTAATAAATTTTTTAAGCATTTTAGATTTGGTCTATTTACTTAAACAGGCCTTATAAAAAGCTTTATTGTTATTTATTTATTTAAGTAAACATCACCTAAACACTAAACATAAAAATATGATATTTTCAAGATGTTTTAGTTACAATATGTAATTTTCTTTTTCTTTTTTCACTTTGATAGACATATTTACATTTATAAATAGGCTGATGATGCTTGGATGTGGTTTTTGGATTTTCTAAGTGCCAGTGGCTTGTCAAAAATGACAATAACCGTCCATATTCATTCTCATTGATTTTCATTCCATTATGAAAGCGAGAGAAAAGGAAACAATTTTTTTATTTTAAATAAATATATTTAATATTAATATTTTTTAAAAATAAATTATGTATTATTATAATAAAATAATATAAATTTGTTTAAATTTAATTTTTTTCCTTTCAAAATATCATTTTACAAACACACCCTTAGACGCTTTTAGAGTAACTTTAAAAATTCCGAATATTTTAAATAAACATAAATTCAGATATGTGTAGCATAAAATTGGTAAGTTTGTTTAATGGCAAAGCAAGAGAGTCTTGTAATTTCAAAACTTTAATTTAGCAACCAATGTTATTTGTTCTACGACCACTATTTTTGAAAAATTATTAATTATATAATATATTTGTACAATCCCTTTTACGAATTCGAAAAATATAAAAAAAAAGAGAAAAAACAATAAAATAAATAATATAATAGAAAAAAAATTTATCTTTAGTTCGTATGACCCTAAAAGTACCGTTCTCACATTTTTTTTTCTTTTTAAAATTTGATAATTAGACCTGTTGATCTTTCTTGTGAGCTGTTCAGTCTTGACCCATATGTCCTAGTGTTAAGACTAAATTATAAGTGAGTTGTATTTTAACTTACTTGTTTAAACAATAGTTCTGGTCAAATATCACACGATCCGGTCAAATTAACCTCACTTCAACCTAAATTTGGAATGACAAAATGATGTTATTTCACACAAGTTTTAAGAATTAATTTACTTATTTTCATCCTCTACCCACGATGATCCTAGCCACACCTCCGGTTTCTCTTCTTCCACTATTCTATCCCCTACATCACCACTTGCCCCAAAGCCTCTACGATGTCCTAAACCTCCACTTATTCCTCCACTATTACCACCTCCTCCTCCACTGCCAACACCACCACCACCATCTACCCTAAAGTCTTTATTATGTCTTGAATCTCCGATGTTCCCTTCTCTACCCCAACACCAAAACATCACTCTTCGTTACACATCACTTTAGTGCGTCTCCTCAGCTTTTTCGCATAGGGGTTACCAGTGTTAGCTAAGGCTGAGAAATTGACGGAGACACGGTTCTTGTTAACGATTTTCATTCCTCTGTAACACTCCTCCTCCAAATGAACCTTTACTTTAGGCTTGTTTTATCTCCTTTAATTCCTCTCCGTACCACCAAATCTCTCAGTGTTGGGTCCAGTCTCTACTGAGGAATGCAAAACTCCACTTGGTCGAACTTGGGATCCTCTCCTCCCTGATGAGTTGCTTCAAGTAATTGATGATGACGTAATTTTTGGCATTTTCAAGGTTATGAGCAGGGATGAGAAAGGACTTGGGGACAAGAAGTCTGACGAGGCGATAACGACGAAGGGTAGAGGAGGAGACTTGAGAGTCCTCTGAAGGAAGAGTGTGAAGAACAAAGAGCAAAGAAATGTTGGTAGAGAGGGGAGGAGAGGGAACACACTAGCGGAGACGATGGGTTTATGATGAAGGCGACTAAGAATGTTGTAGTAGAAAGAGGAAGAAACAACATCATTTTAGGATAAAAGGGAGATAAAATGATATTGTTTTGACAGCTCTATTACAAAAATTGTAAGTTAAACTAAAATATTTTACTTTCTGACAAAATTAAAGATTAATAAGTCCATTTTAAAATCTTAAAAATTAATTTACTCAATACTATCGAAAATTAATCTAGGAGTTTCCTCGTACATTATTAGTATAAATTCATAATATCTATACTAAAATTGTATCTTTTTGTTAGAAAATAATAATAATAAAAATTAACATAACAATTAAAAAAAAACGTGAAGTAATGAACTTAGTGCATGAATGAGAGATGAATGACAATCCCTGTTGCCCAACAAAAATCAGTTGAGTTTATACTAGAATATAGTCAAAGTATAAATGATAAATAATAGAAAAATCCAAACCCAAAAGCCTCTTGAAAGTTGGAAAAGTTACCGTGCACGTAGGGGGGTCTGGTCGTTTATATAAACGTGTTAGGGAAGAAAAAGAAACGAGTGGAAGTGTGGAACGAGGAGATGATAAGGGGCTCAAGCTTGAGTGGACGCCAACCACTGAAATATCTTAATGTGCCAACAAAAGCAAACTTCCCATTCATGAATCTGATTTCCCATTCCTTCCCTCTCTCCCTTCCCATAAAACCATATAACGCTCTTTTCCCAATTCCCTCTCTCAAACTTGCAAAACCTTTACAATCCACACCACCGTTATCTACCATGGACTCAAACTCTACAGACACTGAAGTAGCCTACGACCTCTCCCCTGTCCTTAAAGTCTACAAAAACGGTAGCATAGAAAGGCTAGCTGGCGTCGAGGTTGTTCCTCCGTGTCTTGATCCAACAACCAATGTTGAGTCTAAAGACGTTGTAATCTCCGAAAAAGATGGCATATCTGCGAGGCTTTTCATTCCCAAAACCACTTATCCCCCTACCCGAAAGCTCCCTATTCTTTTTTATATACACGGTGGTGCCTTCTGCATCGAAACCCCGTTTTCTCCGAACTATCACAACCTCCTTAACAAGGTTGTTTCACAAGCTAATGTAATTGGTGTCTCTGTTCACTACAGGAGGGCACCGGAACACCCGGTTCCCATTGCCCATGAAGATTCATGGGTTGCACTGAAATGGGTCGCTTCGCACGTGGGTGGAAATGGCCCTGATGAATGGCTCAACAACTATGCTGATCTCGAAAAAGTGTTCTTTGCCGGTGACAGTGCTGGTGCCAACATTGCACACTATTTGGGTATTCGGGTTGGGACTGAAGGATTGCCTGGTGTGAAGATTGAAGGGATTGCCTTGGTGCATCCCTATTTTTGGGGTGCGGAACCAATTGGGTGTGAGTTGAATAGGGCTGAACTAGGGGCGAAGATACATGAATTGTGGCGTTTTGCGTGCCCATCCACGACTGGATCCGACGACCCGATAATCAACCCGGGAAAGGATCCGAAACTGGGGAGCCTCGCTTGTGGGAAAGTGCTTGTTTGTGTTGCTGAGAAGGATTTGGTGAAGGACAGGGGTTGGTACTACAAGGAGTTACTTGAGAAGAGTGGGTGGTGTGGAGTTGTGGAGGTGGAGGAGATGAAGGATGAGGACCACGTGTTTCATATGTTCAAACCAGACTGTGACAATGCTCGGGTTTTGCTCAGCCAAGTTATTTCCTTTATCAAACAGGATTGAACATTATTATGTTTCCTTCTCAAATAAAAGCTATTTTTTACAAGCTTTCTTGTCTATAGCGTTTACTGTTTACCCATCCAGATGTTGGGTGTGTGTGTGTCTGTGTCAGAAGTATTGATTCTTATTCGGTGTTACTTTATATTTGGTTACAAATTAGAAAGTAAGTAAACTGATCGCAGAAGTTACAATTAGTGATGCGTAAAAGAACCTGAATTTATGTGCATTCTAATGAAGAAAAATATGTTATTGCTTGGCAAGATTTTATTTTATTTTCAATCAGGACAGTTGATTCATTCGGGTATGGTGACAAAGATTAATGAAGTCATGGAACATGAAAGCAAAGATAGAAATAAGCACAAAGAAAAGCTGAATGCTTTTGGAGTGGGCACGTGTGGTGTGGCACGTTTCAGTCTGAACTTGTGGGCATTTTGCTAGAACAGGGGAATGCAACAAATGAGATTCTAGTGCTTTTTAGTTTTGGTCCACATGATTTTAGATACTTTTTGTGGTCCAACAGGATTGTAGATACTTGTATAATCATATGGCTCACCTCACTGGAAAATTAGGGCCGCTTCCACTGTTCCAAAAATAAAGGGCCCATATCAGTGTCCTCTTGTATACGCGGGTCTTCCATTATTGTTCTCATTTGAATTCAATGTCATGATTAGTCTTTTCATCGAACAAAGGGAACAGTAGTCTCTATTTGAGAATGCTTCAACGTTAATTTTCACGGATTTGTCCTTATTTTTCTCCCCAGTTGAAAATCTTCTCACTAACCTTGCGTGTTGTGTTTGTTCAAGGAAGAGGAAAAAAGATTCCAAAATTTTTAATTCTTTTAATTTGGTTTATTTATGACTTTAGTTTCTTTCTTTTTTTGGGTGAATTAATTTTTTTTATTTTTTAAATTGTATAAATTTAGTTCTTTTATTGAGTTTATTCTACATGAAACTCTTAAATTATTATTTTGTCTGGAAATATTTCAGTTTATGATATGAAATGATTTTAAACATATATAAATAAAAAATAGTAAAATTTTGACAATTTTTGAATAACTTTTGAAAGCACGAGATTAAATTTTGAAGAGTTTTCTTTTATACGTTGACTGAAATTTAATATTTTTATTAGTATGTTTTGAGAAAAAGAAGAGATTTAAAACAATTTAATTAAAATAATTTATTAACATTTTGAGTAAAGTAATATAACTTGAGTATTTCACGTAAAAAATTGATAAAAGATGTAATTTAAAAAGTAAAACAAACTAATCACACATATGTTAAATAATTAAAGAGATAAAAAAATGTAGAAACTTGGTGCATTCACCATTTTTCTTGAGATAAAAAATATCATACTTATACTAAATCACTTTTCACTGTGTTAACGATTATCCGACAGTTAAAAAAATTTGGGTTCAAGCATGTTTATGAATTGAAAGATTTGTAACTTTTTTTGAATGTTAATAACTGAATTATTACTTAAACATAAAAATAACTGAATTATTACTTAAACATAAAAATAACTTTCTTATTTTTAGTTACAATATAATGGATATGAAAGGTAAAGAAAGAATATTTATTATATCGTTAGAAAAAAATTTCTAAATGAAAAAATTATGTTTAATGTTATTAAACTTTAACAAGTAACTTTATTTATGTGAACAAGTGCAATAATTTTAGTCTCACTTAGAATACTGAGTTTATTAAGAGATTGATTAGAATCTTAAATTTATTCTTAATGTTGATGAAAGAGCATAAATGAGTCCAAAAACAACTAATTTCCGATGCTCTCGTTAGAAATAGAAATAAATATTGATTTAGAGGAGTTTCTAGATTCACTTATGTTTCTGAAAATTTTTGAAAATACAATTCATAGCCATGCACCAAAGTTAAAAATGGCTTGAAATATGAATATTTAATTTTTTTAATTATTTTTTTTAGTTTGAATTTTTTTAGTAAGTTGAATTTAAAGATTTAAAAGAGATAAAATTTTATTGGAAAGAAATACATTTATTATATTAAAGATAAAAATATTATTATAAAATAAGATAAATTTCATAGGCTAAAATCTCTAAACACATTTGCACTATATTTGATAAGCAAGTCCATTAAGTATTTCAGCATAAGTAATTATTTGTAAAAATAATTCATAAGAATAGATATTATAAAGCTAGTAATAAAAAAAATTATAGAAAAACTATGATAGTTATTTATTTTAAATTAGATAAAATATAAGAGTAAAAAAATTAAAAAAGGAAGCAATTTTATCATTTAGAAGAGAAGGAGATACTATGCACAAAAATGATAAAAGAAGAAACAAAAAGAAAAAAAAAATTAAGCGCAATAAATAACGTGTGCTCATAAACATTATTTTCAAGAAACAAAAACTTGAGTGCATACAAAATATAAGAAATGATAATCCGTGAACTTCATATCATTACAAAAAAAAAATTGTCTTTGTATATAAATTCTTAGTTCTTTTTTAAGTATGTAAACGTCTAAAAAGAAGTAAGTAAAATATTTAGGAGCATGATTTGCTTGAAGAGACATTTGCAAACATATTTGAACAAATAGAATGTAGAGAGTAATAATACTTAGGGTATAAAATATACATTTTGTATATTCAAGTTGAAATTGAAAACTTGACTAAGATCGAAGATTCAATGCAACTCTATCATTCTTAGTTAAACCATTATAAATTGTTATTTTATCTGGCTTCTTTCAACTCTCAATTGTTTTATAAATAATCTATTTTTTAATTGAAAAATATTTTAAATTGTTTTAAAAGTTAACCAAGGTATATATTTTGTTTAAATTAACACCTTAAAAAGTTCAAATTAACACTTTTCTTTTATAATTCATATCAGTATAAGAATTAGTTAATATTCTTAAATTAATATTTTTGACAAACCTAAAAAATTTCCTCTATCAAACAACTTAAAAAAATATATTTTTCTCTAGCTTTATTTTATCTTTCATAATATATACACTCTATGTTGACTGAAGTATAGTACACTGTAGACAACTTTGACGATGCAGATTCAACCATAATTGGATACTTCTAGGGATGGAAACAGGTCAGGCCGTTTGACAGGGGCCTGTGGCCTGGCTTGGCTTTTTTTAAGGCCTGTTTAAGTAAACAAGTCAGGTCTGAGCTGTTTATAAAGCCTATTAAGCCCGACAGGTAGGCCTGTATAAATATATATATATATATATATATATATATATATTATAATTTAAAAATAAAGCTATCAAAATATATTTAAATAATAAAGTTATTTTATAATATATTTTTATATTCTTAATTCTGTTATTATTAAATTAATATATTATGTTATAATTTTATTTATTTATAATTATAATAAACAGAAATTATATTATATTAAAAATTAAAAATATTTATACATGATTACACTTTTTAAATAATAAATTTATTTAATAGTAAATTATTATATTTAAATAATTTAAAAAATAGTTAAGTCTTTAAACAGGAATAAGACGTAATCAAAACTAAACGAAATAAAATTGAAAAATAAAATAATAAAATTATATTAATATATTTTTTATACTCTTAATTTTATTTTTTAATTAAGTTTTATCACATATTTTTTAATTAAGATAAAAATTTAGAAATATAAGTTATTTTAATTTAAATATAAATTTTAATAATTCTTCTTATGCTCATATGTTATTTTTCTTCATCTATGAATTTTATAATATAAGTATTTATCATCTATAATTTTTATAATGACGATATTTATTTACTTTTTAAAATATAATAATTTTTTTAGCTGATTCAATAAATTTTATAAGTGTTATTTTTTGTAATTATTTTTTTAATTTAATAGTTATTATTATTGTCATTATATATATATATATATATATATATATATATTGCAGTAAGTTTAAATTTATTTTTTTAAAAACATATAATTTTCCTTTAATTGATTCAATAAACTGTGTGAATGTTATTTTTTTTTATCAATTTTATGTATTTACTATAACTTTATTTGTTGAATATAAGATGTCTTTAAATAAACAAAATATGTTTCTAAAATAAAACTAAAATATTTACTATTTATATAATTTAAAAAAAAATAAAAAAAATAAATATAAATTTTATTAATATAAAATATTTATAATTAATACTTAAATAATATTTTAAAAATTATTTATAAAATTATATAAATATTATTATAATTATTTTATAATTATTAAGAACATAGATATAAATTAGAAAAATGTATAAACTAATTTAATAATAAAATATTTATATTTTTATTAATATTAATTTTTTTTAACAGGCTTTGTTAACAGGCTTCAAGACAGGACAGACCACTTAAACAGGTCAGGCTCAGGCTTAATAATTATGTTATAGGCCAGGCCTGTTTAGAGTAAAGCCTGGCTTGGCCTGGCTTATTTCCATCCCTAGATACTTCGTATAAGATTTATCCCTTTCTTTAGATCCAATTAATTGAGAGTTTTAATCATTTTTGTAGTTATATATGCAACAACAATTAATCAACAAAAAATTATTTAATTTTTTTTAAATTACAAAGATTGTATAGTAATTTTATTCAAATCTAAAATAACATCGTAAAAATGTCAAAAGTTTAAGTTTAGATATTTAATACTGTTAAATATCTAAAATTTTAACTCAAAGTAGTCATTATTTAGTTCAGAACATATTCATGTAACTTGCTTGTTAATAAAAAAAATATATTGCTTTCGAAATGACAATTCTTTTTTTTTTTTTCTGTATTACTTTTACTTTGTATAAAAGAATGATGCTATTTATTACAAAGAAAACTAGCACAAAAACTAATAAAGTAGAGGTTTGATCAATTAAAATATTCATAATAATATATGATTGAAAATTGAGGTTTTAAAAAAAATTTAAAATCATTTATTAAAATTATAATTTTTTGCCACATATAATTTTTGTCACATAATCATTGAATATTTTACATATTAAGGTGATAATGTTACAAAATTTACATATTGAATCTTATATGAGCTATACATTAAAAAATATTATCTACTAATCTCAATTTAATTTGTTGAAATCTTAAGTATGAAATGTTTTAATTTTAAAAATTTTATATTAATTTCTGACTTTTATTTTTATTTATTATTATATTTCTTCGAGTCACGACTTTTGTTTTTATTTATCATTATATTTCTTTGAGTCACCGGACATAAACAATAAATTACTAAAAGTGACGTATATAATTTATTATGTCATGTGTGGTAATATATATATATAAAACAGGTATTTTAATATTGATTCTGAAAACTTGTTATCTATACATCTTTATTATTCTACATTCTTCTTTACAACACAATTGCTGAAAACCACTATTCTCATCCACTGCTTGGTATGCTAATATTGGATTCATCTACCATTGGATTGCGTGGAATGGAGAATTTGCAGAGAAATATCGTGCTGTGTGGGTAGATAGATATGGCGAGCAATAAACTGGGTATCAACTGTTTCCTACTCGATGTCCCAGATGGTGCAGGTGGTGTCGATGTTGGAGCTTCCAATGTGTTTGGGTTCAACCACGTTCCAGTCAAAGGAGGTGAAGGGTCCACATTTCTGGCTTTTTTTTTTTTTTTGGCCGTTGTGGAGGGATTTGAGCTCCATGCATTGATGTTTAGAGTTATTGGGGTCAGAGATGCACTAGACATGGAGGAAGTCAGAGGAGGTCGAGGCAAAATGAGTCTTTATTGGGGATGAAGATGACTTTGGTGGGAGAGGTTTGGGTCAGAGCGAATCTTGCTGTTCAAATTGCCGAGTTGAACAATTTTGAGTTGGTTTGGATACTTATCAAGGAAAGAGGCGATGGACGCTCCAGTTCATGGC